TATATATATATATATATATATATATTTATTCCTAGTATTTCTATGCCACCCTATGCATTGATGCATTTGCTTGCAAGAGTAGCAGTCCTTTGCTAATTAATGAAGTATGAGTCTTTGTTTATGTTAAGGTGTTATATTTCAAACCTATGTGCTATGTTTGTTTTACAAAATTCTTTCTAAGGTTGACAGAATTCCTATTTTGGGCCACCATTGGTTTTCTTGCCATTTTAGAGATGGGTGGCATTTGCAGATAAGCATTCTAAAATGTATTTTCAAAGATTTCATTTCATATGTTCTCTGATTGTTTTTTCAAATATGTTTTTCTGGAAATGTAAAAAATATACAATCAATAATAATTCTGGGAGTGTCAAGCAAGGTTCAGGTTTTACCTACCCTGTTAAAGAAGTCCAAGTGCAACTGTGGGCATTTTCATTCAGAGTTTAGAAAGCTTTTTTTTTTTTTTTCATAGAGCAAAAGGTCTAATTTTAAAGGCAGTTAAAAACAGCTATCATTTTATGTGTGTTATTTCTGGCTCAGTGTAACATTCTTTGATTTTGGCTTAACGTGATATGAGAACCCAGTTTCTGTGGTTTGAAAACTGTGGTTTAGGGCTTAGTGTGACATAACTGAGCCAGTCGTGCTTAGTCAGCAACCATGGTTCAAACACATCTGGCTTAATGTGGTGACATACCCCACTGTTACATTGCACAGTAATTGCTGCACATTTCACGCATATTACCTAGCAGCAAATTTCCAGTTTTCAGTGATGCAACACACTTGTCTGTTTCTCTTGTAAGAAGAAAGGACCCATTTAAATCTTTGACAGGTGCCTCTTTACTCTCCTTCCTTGACAAGCTAGGAGAATGGAGTAGAGTAATGTTGTTAAAGAAAAGAAAAGCCTGCCAGCGGTCCAGAGTGAAACATTTTTGATTTGTTTTCACAAACTATTTGTCTCTAGGAAGAAGTCTTTTGTGAGGTCAGGAATAAGGTAACACCTGGGCTTGCAAAGGTATCTGAGGATTCTTGAACGATTCCCTTGTATCTGTGTTCTAGTTTTCTTCAACTGTGGTAAAAATGAGCAATTTGGGGATTTAGCATCATGACTTGTAGAATCTAGTAATAATCGGTAGAAATAAAGGAAACCATTAGTGTTGAATCGATACTGCTTGAATAGTTATCTTTTCAGCTATAGTATTGATGAGGAAGATAATAAAGAATGACATCTATGGTGTAAACCTTTCCAATCTTCTGTGCTCCTGTGTTGGAACTATGGCTCCCAGAATTCCCCAACCGGCTTATAGCAGTGATAGACAACAATTCTGGGAATTACAGTCCATCCTAGAGGGTAGAAGATTAGGGAAGGCTGGTATAACTAATCTGCCTGTGCAGCAGAATCATGTGATACAACGCTTTTTGGACTGTCCCGCTTCTCACAGCTAGTAGAAGTTGTTAATGTTTGAATACTGCCTTTCCCCCCAATTTTTTCCTATACCATATGATTCCCCTCTTGCAGTCCAGACCTCCTAAAGTCACCAAGGTTGAGAAACACTGCTATAGAATGATGACTATCAAGGAATAAGTGTGAATCTTATTATTAAGATAATTAGGTGTAATGATTTTAACCTAGCTGTGTGTTGCTGAGTGCTGCTTCCTATTAAGCTTATTCCTGGAGGAAATGCATTTTGTTATGCATGACACAACCTTAAGTACCAGGATACTGTTTGCTTTTTTATTCTTTGCTGGAATAGACAAATAAATTAAACTGTCCTCTTCTTCTGAAGAGCTCAAGTAGGAATAGTAGCTGTGAGTGCAAATTTCTGGATAGACGCCCGCTTTATTGGAACTTGGTTTTTAAAACGGCGCTGTGGTGATAGAACTTCCTCTTTCAGTTCTGTCTTGAAAAAGCCTTGGTCATCTGCTCAGATGTTGATATGGTGGCCCTAAATTAGGAGTAGACAACTTTTTTGGCCTGGGAACCATATTGTCATTTCCTGCCCTGCCTGAAGAAACTAGTGGGATAAATGAAGTTAACATTTTGAGAATTGGGTTTTGGAATGTCTAGATGGAGGTTTAAAAGGTGAGAAATGGGTGCCCTAAATCTTAACAGAGGCTTTAAGACCTTTCTAATAAACCCCCAAATCAGCCTGGTTTTGTTTTTCCTGGGATTTTAAAGGTACAAAAAATTAAGGCATCCACTTTGCCTGTGACTTAACTTTGCATTGGATTTATATCCCATCTCTTCTCTTCAGGGCTCAGAGCAGCTTATGTGGGGCAAGGGGTCTTCTCTCATTTTATCTCCATAACAACAACCTGTGAGTAAATTAGGTTGAGTGTGATTGGCTGACCCACCCTCATCCAGATAACTCCATAGCTGAGTGGGGTTTGAAGCAGTCCGAGTCTTTCACTACCATTATCACGTGACTCACCATACTTTCACTACCTCCAAACCCCATAGTGGTGTTGGGGACCATAATCAGCTCAGTGATGACCCACTCCTGCCTTAAATAAGAGTTAATCCCCAAGTTGTTATTCATACTAAGGAACAGCCCTTGGCACCCATTCTTTGCCTCTACACTGCATTCTCCCATGCTTGTGTAGGATTTCAAAGGGCAGTGCAAAAATATGCCAGCAGAATGACATGGAAATATTGTACATGTTACAAGGTGTGGTGGACTTGACTTGCATAGAAGCATTCATTTTCTGTGGGTAGTTTAGACAAAAATGCTGACTTACTCTTGCCTAATGCAAAAAAGAGAACAGGGTGATACATTGGAAATTTTTATTTTGAAACCCTAATGAGCTGAAAGCTCTCTTGCATACTGTACTTACTGGAAGTTGAATTCTATTTTAGGGCCTAGCCAATCCTGCTGCTGAGAAAAGCATTTTATTCTTGTCAGTCAGCAGGAGACCTCGTGAGCTGTTAATCAGGCTGTTTTTATCAGCACTGGATTTGCAAGAAAAAAAATGGCTGTATAAAATATTTCTGTGTATACATATTATTACAAGGTATCATGTCTAAACTACTATTATTGTCCATGTTTATGCCTTCCCTACATCTCATGTTACCTGGTATGTAATGAAACATTTGTAAGTCCAAAATCTAACTTGATGAACTCAACAGAACAACTTGGAGAGTCTTGGAGTCTTAGGTCTCTTATGTCAGTCTCTCCTCTTTCACTACTCCTAACTTCCTCAAAGACACAGTACAGGTAGTCCCCAGGTTAAGAACACCTGGTTTAAGAATGACCCATAGTTAAGAACGGAGCCTATTGTAGCAAAATTCAAGTTAAATACACAATGATTCGAGTTAAATATGCAATGGTTCCAGTTGATTACGCAATACGACTTATACCGTATTATACAATAATACTGTTTCAGCTTACAAAT